AGGTAAGCTAGCTGTTGAGTTTCACAGGACCCCATGAATCACAGCGATTTTGGGGGCAACACATTGGGGTCTGCTGAATTTGACTGACTACACCCTCACATTTCTGCCAGGCATGTTGCTGCTACTTCCAACAGATGCATCCTTTGAAGCTAAGGCGAAGACAAGAGCCATTCTGTTTCCTTGCTCAGAGTTCAAGGGAGTGTCTAAAAACAATTGAACATCTTAGGGATTTCCACCCTAGAGGGTCAACTAGTGTGTTACCCATAAAGCCGTGGGTGACTGGAAAATTCGTGCTGTGTCCACAGAAAACCCAAGTTTCTCCATTTGGAAGTAGAACTAGATGGGTTGTTCTTTTGCTCACAAAAAGAAATCAGTAAGAGCCTGACCAGTATCTGATAAAAACCATAAGCGACAATATGAAACAGCGGACGAACCTTTGGTAAAAACAAGAGGAAGCTGAATTCTCACAAAGGGCCACCGTAAGAGCCCAACAGTGATAATTTAGTGTTTCTGGACATTTCTTTAGGAGCCTAACTATTTCTGACACCGAGGTGGAAGGAAGGATAGATTATCACTTAACATGGGTCTGACCCAATCCCATCCCTTGAGTCTGAGCTCCCTGGCACACATCTTAGAATGCCACTGCACCTTCCCCCTGCCCACCTCAGGCGACTGACACATCTCCCCAAAAAGAAAATCAGTTAACTACACCGGATTTCCCCATCAAACACACCACTGCAAGTTGGGGAGAGATTAGAAAGCATATTCTGTTTTTTGAGAGAGGACACCTTTGGGGCCCATACATCACTCTGCATGACCTCTGAGGTCAGCTAACACAGACTGTACATCAAGAAAAGCACAGTGGCTGAAAACCTCACAGTGAGGTGCCTGATGACCAGCTCTGCCTATCAGGATCCACAATGTACTAACATGTCTGCAAAGAGTGACTTCCAAGCCCCACACGATGGCCAATCACTGAGCGAGGCAAGAGTCACTAGAGCAAGACCGCATGTTCACAGAAAGAGACAAGCTACTCATCACATACACTTTCACGTGCATTAGGACTTGTATGGAGAGACAACATAAGAGTTCGGGCAATTAAGTTCACGCACTTTCCACTGTGTAAGTGGAAACACACTGTATGTATTAGGTTGATCCATGTAAATTTTGTTATTGTAAGTAAAATATGGTCCAGCTATTGGGAATTTCATGTGAGTCAACCTATATTAAGCTGGAAAAGATAAGAAAAGTAGGAGCTGGATAAAAATGCTAAGCTCCTGGAGTTTGTAACTGAACCACAAAAGCTGAGAGTGAGCAGGATAAAGGTTAAGTAAGTCCTGGGCAAGCCAGTGGTCAAGTCTCACAGCACAGCCCACAAAGCCTCCCACCCCCACTCCCATCCAGGCTGATGGAGGAAGGAGCCGGAGGTGGCCATATGACGCTTAGGCAAACAATGACAGTTTGATGCCAGTCAAAAAATTCATTCCTCTTCTCAGTCCAGGACTACAAAGTTTATAAAAGTAAAGTTGTCTCTATTTAGGCTCCTTGAAAGCTTATTCCAAAATATTCCATGTGGAGATGTTTACCCCTTCCCAGATCTGACTGTTTCCCCTCAACTGAGGAGAGGAACTCAATGCTCTTCACTTTCCTGTAAGGAAATCGATGTTTAATTTACAATTACAGTTGACATTCAATATTATTTTATATTAATTTCAGGTGTACAGCAGAGTGACCCCCTCACCCCCCAACTAGTCTAGTGCTCTGCTGGCACTATACATAGTTATTATACCACTGACTATAGGCCCTGTGCTTTACTTTACATCCCCGTGACTATTTCATAACTACCAATTTGTACTTCATCCCTTCGTCTTTTTCACCTGGCCTCCAACCCCCCTTCCCATGTATTACCCCTATAAATCTAGTACCCCTCTGACACCATAGTTATGGTGAAGGGGACTAAGCGGCCCAAATTTCCAGGTATAAAACCAGTAAGTCACGGGGATGTAATGTACAGCATGGAGAATACAGTCAATAATATTGTAAAAGCGTGGTACAGTGTCAGATGGTTGCCGGATTTATCATGGCGATTTTCTTTAGGTATATAAATGTTGAAAAACTATTCTGTACACCTGAAACTAATATAATATTGTAGGTTAGCTGTATTTTAATACACATCTTAAAAAGAAATTGATGTTTGACATCCCTCTCTAACTCTAGCCAAATCCTCCTTGACTTCCTGTCCAGGGAAAGAGACTCTTACTGAAAGGTGGTGTCTCCTTAGAGCTTAAGGAAACCAGCACAGCTCACAGGCTCGGCTCAGCTCCAGGATGAAGACATCAAACTCCATCCCCATGACCCAGAGACCACAGAAAACGAGGATGAACACGGGGTGATACATCCAAATGAGTGCGCACGAAAGAAAACATTTCACCCAGCCAACTTCAAAACCAGAGGCCTGACAGTGTTGGATGGCTTTGTTGTGAGATGTCTTTTTTTTTTCCCCTCCATTTTAAATTTTCTCCCTTTAAACCCAAACTGCAGCAATAGACCCCAACAGCTCCAGCTTCCGACTTGATACATCATCAGGAACTCATTCCAAAAGCTCTAACCAGATAACTAATTTAATACACTTTGCTTCAAGGTTTATTCCTTGGCTTGTTTCCCAGATATAAAGCATCTCTGGGCAATTATTATGCAGATGCCACTGAAAGGACTTTAAATGGCTGCTGCTAATTTACCAGAAGATACATTGGCATTTGCTGGAGTGAAAAGGAATGCAAAATGTGCTAAGGGATCAAAAGCATTTGTTTTTAAAAAGGAAAGATGTGGACTAACTTTTAAATGTCTTCCTTTGGGTTTCAATATAAACTTTGGCTAGGAAATTGGAGAGTAAAGCCTACTGCTTTCCTGCACTTTCTGCATTAATGAATGTTTCCATAGCACAAGGTGGCAACGGTGGACGGGGATGGAATGACCACGAATGAAGAGCTCAAAGGAACAGCAGCTCTACACACTGCCTCCAGAGACGTTTCAACAGTGCCCCCGCTGGGGCCTAAGAGACGAAAGAGAAATACTGATGTGCATCAAACAATAAAGCAGTCAACTGCAGCCCAACTGTTAAACCATCCCTCACAGCCGAGTATCCCAAGCATAGAACGTCTCTAAAGGAAACAGGTACCTCTTTGCCTGCTGATGATCCAAGTTCTGAGCATCTCACAGTGAAAAGGGCTGTGAGCTCTGTTCCACTGGAAATGCATGTCACGCTAATGGTTTTCTTTTTCAGCACATACACCCCAATTCTGGGATCTACAGAGCTCCGTGTAAGTTCTTGTAATCCTTGAGTGATCAGACTCAAGTAGCAGACAGGAGGCCCTCCATCGCCAGATATTCTGAGTCTAAATAAGGGAATAATCGCAGTAACAGCTGGCCAGATGTGAAACTGAGTTGATTCCCAGGCCAAAGTAGTTCATCCGGAACTGCGTCCACATGCATCAGTTAGTATGTGGCAAACAGAAGTCAAAAAAGGCACCCTCTTTTTTTGGGTTGATTTGATGCCATTCTTTCTTTGTATTTTCAGTTCAGGAGAAGAAAAAAAAAAAGCAGCAGTGGAAGAAGACATGGTGAAACCCCACAGTGATCAATTCTAAGAACAAAACCACAATTTAAAAGTTGCACTGAAGTAAAACTGGAGAGAGAAAAATGACCCAAAATTCAACAAGAGGGAAAAATGCATAGAACACAATATATTATATACGAGGTGTGAGCAAAAAATACAGTGAATGATTAAATAAAAAAAATTTTTTTACAGTAAAAGACACATTGCCATTAATCCCCCTGAAAATACTCTCCCTCACTTTGAACACAGCCCATCATTCTTGCCACTTTCTGAAGCAGTTCTGGAAGTCCTCTTTCATGAGTGTCTTTACTTCATCCTCCATCATGACAATGCTTCATGTCACACAACACTTCTGGTACAGCAGTTTCTGTCAAATAAAAACATTACAGTGTGTCCTCATCCACCTTATTTACCAGATCTGGCACCGTGTGACTTCTAGCTCTTCCCCAAAGTCAAAATGACTGTGAAAGGTAAACATTTTGAATCGATTCAGGACATCAAGGCAGCCACAACAGCGCAACTAAAGACACTCACGAAAGAGGACTTCCAGAACTGCCTCAGAAAGTGGAAAGAACGATGGGATGGATAAGTGTGTTCAAAGCGAGGGGGGGTATTTTGAGGGGGATTGATGGCAATGTGTCTTCTACTGTAGTAATTTTTTTTTAAATTTAAATATTCACCGTATTTTTTTTTATCACTCCTCGTACTAACCTAAGAATTCAGGACAGTGACCAATGAAGGCACAGGAAGAGACAAACTGAGACTGAGCTCACACTGAGGGCAGCGTTAGCAGCACACTTGACCAGACAGTGGATTTATGGAGAAGAAGAGACCATCACAGGATTCTGTGGAGACAAGTTCCACCACCTTTCATCCCGTGGGCCAAGATCGGGACGACAGGTCCCTGACTGGGCTCCGTTCTGCTGTTACGGACCAAAGCCCGGAGATGATACCAGCACAGTGGGGTCCCACTCAGTGTGTCTCCTGGCCAGGGCCCTTGCTACCTGAGTGCCAAACCACCCCCAGAAACCAGCTTTCCCAACTGTTTCCTTTATAATCTTTTTAATGATTTGGTGACTGATGGAAAGATAGAATACACCCAGCCCCGTGACCTTCAGGCCTCTGTCCAGCACAAATATCATATTTAGACACAGTATCAAGGAACTGCCTGTCTTTCTCTTCTCGCTCTGCTCCATTGTCTTCTCTCAATCAGGCAAGAGGCCTAGCTACACAGATGGCTCGGCCCAGGGCCTCGAAGGCCACCAGCTTGGAGACCCCTGAGCAAATGGGGACAAGCAGCAAATACTGAGGGTGCAGCCCCCGGCAAGGAAACACAGGCTCCAGAGTCCAGATGAAGGGGTAGTTGAGAAAGGCACAATACAGATCCCGTTGCTATCACAATTGCTATACCATCATGGTGGCACTTCCGCTAGCTGTTCCGTCTTTAACTCAAGATCGGGGTTTGGGGAAGGGGAGGGAGACTACTGAGAGTGAGGACAGAAAGGAAGAAGGGAGAAACCTGTCCACCAAGGCTCACGGGCCCAAAAGATGACAGTGTTTTTTCCTTCAGGAAAGGGCTTTGGGCCTCATCTTTACATGTAGGATGAATTCATTGTCTTGCCATCTTTGAATTGGACATGAACAATTAAGCTGATGAATTTCAGGGTTGGTTACAAATCTGGCTGCAGCTTCATGAGAGATGTGTTCCCTTATGCCTCTGTCCCCCAAAATGACCCACTAGGCAACCCCCCCCCGCCCCCACACTGATGATGTGTTACAATGCAGATCAGTCAAAATGTGGTTCAAACGAAAAGTACAATGATTCACAAGTTATTCCAAGGGGGAAAAAAATAAATTATCTCATACAAAATAATACATGATGTTTATGAATAAACTTGGCTCCTGTCTTCAGGGAGCCCGTGGCCTGCTGGCTCTGGCCCTCCGCTCCCTGCTGGGGGAGCCGATGTTGTCTGGAGGTGCTCTCCCATCTGCAAGATGGGGCTGGGTCCCTCTTCCAGGAGCTGGGTCGGGAGGTTAAATGAGTCTGGAGTTTTGGAGGAACTGGATGAGGACCTGGTAGACAAACTTGTACTGAGCGATGGTCTGGATCATGAACATCCTTTGCTCCCGGAGGAGCCTCAGCATCATGGGCACTTCCACCTTCTGCAGGAAAAGAGAAAAAGCACAAGATCCTGAGAACGGGGAGCTTCCCTTCGACCGTTCCTCATCCCCTCGCCCAGGAAGCATTCGTTCACCGCCCATGTGCAGGTCCAAGGGAACGCAAAAGGACTCAGCCCCCTCTACGTTTTCCCAGTCGGAGACTTGATGCCAGCAACTGGAGAACCTGGTTGACATGTACCACTGACGTGCTATTTTCATACAGACCAGTGGGTTAGAGAAAACTACAGGCTGGAGTTAAACCTGACTGGGACTCGCAACTCTATCATGGCTCAGTGGTTGGATTTAAGACATCCCTTGGTCTTCGTTTCTACACCTGTAGATATGGATAACCATGTTTTCCTCTAATGGCAGTGTGGCCCTGCCTAAGAGAGTGACATTTCCTCAGTAGTAACACAGGGTGATAAATATTGCCCACCTCACAGGATCCCAGGAAGAAATGCACGCAAAGGATTTAGCACAGTGTCTGGTACACAGTGAATTCTTTATGAAGACTGCTCATTCTCATTTTATTAACGTCAATGAAATGAGGGCAATCATGCCCATTGTGCTACCTCACAGGATCATGGTCACAACCACGTAAGATAATTTACGTGTAAATCTTTAGAAAGCACGGTTGTCAAAATGCAACCTCTGTAACAGCAGGCATGTTTGTGGTGAAAGCCTTAACTAAAAACATGTTGAGTAAAAATGAGACCGCCTACGTGTAAATTCTTTGAGAATGCAGAACTATGGTCAATGGAAGAGAATTAATATGGTGGGTCACTAGTGTTTGAACAGACCAGAAGCTTTCCTGGTGTCCCCTCATGTCATTTCCATCCTCCTGGACCAGCCAGGGCAGAAGCACCACCAACCCAACGATGCCATCATGGCCTCAGCACACTGGCCCCGCTCTGAGAGCTCTTAACCCAGGCAAACGACCACATCCGTGAAGCTATCAAGGACCAAGCAAGCATCTTAAGTAAAATAACCAAAACTCTGCTGTATGCCTTTTCTTACTTTACTTTCAAATGTCATTCCAGCTATCTCAAAACTCTGTGCCACTCTGATACGACACATGCCATCCTTATTTGTCACACGTCTCCAAAACCAGTTAAGCAATGCACATCACAGATTTTAGAAAGACAAGTCCTTGCTAATAAGGAAAGAGAAGAGGGATGTGGATCTTCAAACTATTAGTCAAAATACAGACCCTAGACCATAAACTTCCGATGGTAACTAGTGGGTCTTTGCCTAAACTATACTCCACAGTGACCGATATCATAATATACAACCTAGAGCCACCTAATAGTGAGCTTAATTATCATAACATTTGATCGACATTACTCCGGGTTGGGCACTGAAGACAGAAGGACAGAAGAAGGCTACTCCTCTCCCATAACCATCAAAGGCTTCGACAGAGCCACGGTCCCACAGGAGTTAAGAGCACAAGCTCTGGGTCAGGTGTCACCTGCTGCATTCCGACTATACCACTTCCTGGGTGTGGGACGTGGACAAATTCCTTCATCTACCTGTGCCTCAGTTTCTCTTAGTTATGCGAGAGTACTAACAAGACCCTTCTCACAGAGTTATTGTGAAGGCTACTTGAGTTGCAGGGTTCTTAGAATAGTGCCAGCACATGGTAAACACTAAATACAGGTTAGCTGTTATTATATTTTCATTGTTGTCATCATCATCACCTTTACCTCCACCATACTACCCCCCAGCCACCAACTCGCTCACCTCCACTCCCATCTGCACTACCACCTGCACCACTTTCATGAGCGTTATCATCTCAATAGCCCCAAGACTCAGCCCCGAGGATAACACATTATCCGATAATAGGCAGTTTGGAGACAAGATATAGGAGTTTCCCTTGGTCCTCAACGAAGAGAGTCCCAGTGGCCTTGAAGACTCACTCCCACAAGCTCTGATGTCCACTGTCCCAAACCCAAGGAATCATGAGGCAGTTGAAGCTTGCTCAATCTTGCTTAGAAGGCATCCCTACTCTATGATGGAGGGATAACTTATTCAGAAAAGCAGCAAGATCAAGACATCTTGCTCTGTGGCTAGTGAAAACCTGGTCTTTTGTAATTAGCTAATCTGGGACAGATAGTTAACTCCAGGGGGCCAAGAGAGAGTATTGCAAACCATAAAAGTAGTGCTTTCTGAAAAATATGTATGGGCGTTAGTATGTTACAGCTAACACTCAGTGACCAAAGTCAATGGGCCACAAAGAAACTTCTCAGCGCAGCCTGGGAAGACCCCCTCCCATCCCCACCTCACAGCGACTTAACCTCATGAAAGCATTTTTGTTCCAGGAAAAAGAAAAAACACTTCACTGACAAAATTAAAACTGTATGAATTGTAGACTAAAACATAAAGAAGCTTAATCCAGAAGCCATGGAAAGAAGACAGGAAAGTTTAGACAGGAGAAAAATGGGACACACAATTTCATATTTATTTATCAAAATCTTTGCTTAAAAAAATAAATGAACAGACAAAACATGTTCCATACTTTTCCCAAAATAAGGGTCTGACTCTTCCCAGCCAGGCCTGAAGCAGAACAAAGTAGAGAGCTTTTTTCAACCTTGTCATCTACCAATAGCAATTATGGGAAACGGGACAGATAAGGCTGGCTATATTTGTGCTGGAGAAGGGAAGTGAAAACTATGAGTCATCTAGCTATCTTTGAATATCAATGGGAACAGAAGTCCTTTTTGGACTGACCACATTCCGGCGAAGAATGTTCTGGCATGCCACTGGGCATGGAGGAAATCCGCTATGTTTGGATACACCGGAGAGAATTTAATCACCGCCAAGCCCTCATGAAGTCCACGCAGGGCCCTCGTGGCCGAACCCCTCACTGTGCGCCATGTTGGCTGTGACACGTGTTGTTTATGTTCCACTGGGCCAGCAACATCTGGTGATCAATGAGCCTTCATGTCATCACATTACTGAGGCTTGGCCGCTGATGGGTCTCCAAAGAGCTCAGAACAGAGCCATCCTTCATGTCAGACAAGACGGACAGAATAGCTTCTCAAGTTGAAAAGGAGGAAGGGGGAACAGAAGAGGAGTGCACAGGGAATGGAGAAAAGGAGAAAATGTGGCAAAGAAAGCGGTAGGAGAGGGGAGAAAAAGACATCTACATGGCGAGGGGATGACAAGGCCCTTCTTCCTCTTCCTCCCTGGGACCCACGGCTGTCCCCACTGGAGCCTGGGTATGCTCGAGCCATATATACCGATTCCACTTCATCTCATTCCATCTTCCCCGCACTGAGTGGATTTGGGACTTAGTGGCAAGCTATTCACTCTACGAGGGACTTCTAATAGTGACAGGGAAGCAAACAAGAAATCTCATGTGAGACAAAAGGATAAGAACTCATAGAAGATGATGGAACGCCTGTTATGTAGTCTCTGCTGCTTCCATGAGGGGCAGTTTGCTCATCAATAGAATGTCTGTTGTTTTCAACAACAGGCTGCATTATACCAAACCCCTCTTCTACTTTTTAGCAGCACAAACATTCCTATGGACAGACTAAAAGTTTCCAAAATTAACTTTTTGTAGGCAGGGACTTTTAAAAATCCTTTGAACGTGTTTCAAGTTAGCATTTATTGTTTCCCTGGAAGTTACACTTAACAAACTCAGTGATTTTCAAACCACTGATGATGCTACTGAATAAATATGTGTATTATTATAGAAATTCCTTTACAGAACATGCATTAGGACATTTCCTAATTTAAAAACTACTGAACGACCTTGAAAGTTTCCTTTGATTCTCCAAGCTGTATAATTTGGAAAATAAACAAGAATCAAATGACCCTTGGTGCCTAGAGGCAGAGTGAAGGCAGGAAATAATTCAGGGCCAGGAAGTGGAAGATCTCACTTCTCACCAACTGCTTAGAAGCCTCATGGCACTGGACAAGTCACTAATGTCTTTCTGGGCCTCCGTTTCCTCATCTGTGAGGCAGGAGGACTGACAAGTGCCTGGCTCCTCTATGTGGCTGCTCTGAGGACCCCAACTAAGAAGACAAAAAGTGAAAGCCATTTTAAAACCCCGTGTAAGTAAAAGGCAGGAGAATTGTTCTTTAGCCTGATTGCTCTTTGTCTCATCTCCACGAAATCAAAAGCCCGTCAGTGTTGACTCCCTGACCCACAGCAGTAAGGGGATGGCACATACCCTGTAGGCACAAGCTCAGTGACAGCCCCTTGTTCGGGGAGAAGAGCTGGGCGTACACCTCAGCAAAAGCACTCAGATGGTCTGCCCCTCTGAGCTATAGGACACCACTGCCCGTGTAGACAAGAGCAAACCACAGCCCCCTTTACGTAAACCCCCTCAGAGGAGTGAAAAACATTTTAGAGTACACCCATTTGCACATAGGATTGACGCCAAAACGCATCCTAGACAGGCAAGATGCATCTAAACTACATGTGACCCCGTAACCCACCATGGAAAGTTACCCACAATGCAACCAGGCTGTCTACAAAACACTGTAGTCTTCTGGCAGTAGATGCCGACTACGGTCAGACTGTCTAAATGTTTCCTATCTCACACTTTCATCTTTTCTTCTGTATTATCTGGATGTCTACACAGAGCAGTGAGAGGCAAAAGATAAGGAAGGCTATGAATGTCAGAATCCAAGGAGGAATCCCGGGGTCTGGAAAAGTCTCCTCAGAACAAAGGAAATGAAGACACTGGAAACGAAAAGGAAACAGGCGAAGTTTCAGCCATGGGGTAGATTTGTGTCCGAGGCGGAGTATTTAGAGAAGGCCAGAGTGACTCACTTCATTATGCTCCAGGCAGTAGATCATCAGCTCAGAGAGAATGACCACGCCGGTCCTTCCCACCCCGGCACTGCAGTGGACGACAATGGGAGGGTGCTGGTTCTTGGTGCCTTCCAGCATGCTGTTGGTATGGCGGCGGACTGACTGGATCTCCTCCAAGTAGGCTGGAAGACAAAATGCAAACCTTGTCACTCAAGTCCTCCATGGCTTTGCATGCAAGCCAGGGGGAAAGACACCGATGGTGAATCTTTTTTTTTTAAGTGACAATAATTTACAGTTCTTACAAGACACTAATTATTTGGCTGGTACCCATTGTACAGTTCTGGGTCCAGAAAGGACCAGCTGGGAGTCAATTAGTCCACGGGAGAATTTGTTCTTTAAATTAAATAGTTCTTTTTTAAAAATTAAATTCTGTTTTCCCCTCTGCAAATCCCAAAGTCCCCCAAGCAGATGATTCTCGACATTACTTACAGCAATTCCTACTATTAACAGACTGGGATCAGAACACTAGCTAGATCCCCTTGAAATGCCCGCCTGTCAGAGCCAATTTATGGTGGGAAGAGCATCCATCTGCCCTTTTTTCCTTCCCCTCACTGAATGAGTCAATGTCAACCGAGGTTTGACTTCATTTTTAGGTTTTAAAATAGACTTTGGGGGGCGGGGGGGCCTGCTTTTCAGCTTGGATTCCATGTTGTGATGTGAGTAGTTCAAAACGAGTCACCCCCCGGGTCCCTTTCTGGAGGCAACATGTGGTGAGAGGGTCATGCCACCTCCCACATTCCTTCCAACATCTGCCTAGCTCAGCAGAACTGTGCAGGGGTCCGTTCACTGCTCCAATTGGGCACAAGTGAAAAATTACAGCAATGCCAGTCTTAATGACCCTTTTTTCATGATCACCAAAAACAAAGGAAAAGTATATAAATGTAAATCTCAAACAGTCCAAGAACTGGGAAAAGTCCATTTGTAACTAAGATTTTTATAGCAGCTAGCTCAGGGGGGAAACAGATTTGAAGGTTCTCCATAATCAGGAAATCTCATCATAAAGCACCAGTGTACCTAAGACTCATGGAGATGCTCAAAAAGTTAATTTTAAAGCATCTGCTTGCATACAATTAATAAGAACTACTATTTTCCTTTATAATCTTATCTAATTACAAAGTAATCTGAAGTAGTTTACCAAAATAAACTATTACAACCAACACCACCAGCAGTATCATAAAATGAAATAGAACAAAACAAAATAAACGAGGGAAGACAACCTGAGATGACCAGACAGAGTAGTTGCTATTGGGTACCAACATGAGCGAAATACTGTGCATGGAACTCTCTTCCCAACTTTTTTGCGAGGGGGAAAAATGTTAGATGATTGGGCATTTTCTGTCTGACAACAGGCAATATTCATAGACAAGAGACAAGGGTTTTCTTGTGCTAAATTTAAGAAGTAAAAGAAATATTGCTCAGTAAGGCAGATGCCACCACCAAATGGAGTTTCCTAGAACACAGAGAAAGTGGATTTATATAGATGCTTTTCGTAGCAATAACTCTAATAAAGCTGTACTCAGTGAAGACCTCTGGAGGCAGGAAGACAATTTGGCATAGGTTCCTCTGTATCTAGGTAATCTAATCTAAATGTAGGCAGAAATCTTTCTGTGTTCTTAAAAATCTACAGAGCCAACACTTCTAAGACCCCCGCTCAGTACACTTGTCCTGAATTTCTTAGAAACGTAAATTAATACATTTATACTGTTTAAAAATGTTTTCTATCTTTTCAGTAATTTAGATTGGCCTTCCTTCAGCTGGTTCAGATTTAAAAGATTTGGCTATCATTTTAACCACTGTATAAACTCAATCTTTTATCAGAACTTTAGCCAATCATCAAACCTATGTACTTTTATTGTTTCCATGTCCTGCATCTTGGAGAAAATTCTAATCACTCAATTAGCAAAAGATTACCAGGAAGGAAGAACACTATTATGAGGAAAGAGAGTTCTGTGAAGGTCATTGCCTCCTTATTAATATCTGAGCTACAGGTTTGACCTCCGGAGAATCACGAACCCTCTCTAGATCACACTGTAGATTCTTTGTTTCCAATCATCTTTCTCCTCTCTACTTTCAGTGTCCAACCCCCTCAGTACCACCATCACTTTAATGGGAAATTAAACACCTGTATCAACGAATAAGTATGCAGCAGAATCGTCCTGTTGGAATTTGTGAAATAGTACCTCTCGATACTTGAAAATCTATCCTGTCTCTTCTTCCCTCAATCCTGCCTCCCATTCTAAAGGAATATCAAAATAAAATCCAGGTGTTGACATTATCCAACATCCAGATGATGGTCCCTTCATGATGGTCACAGGTCTTCCACCAGCTGGAGAGTCAACAACATGGTGGGTATAATAATAAATCCGCAGAGCCCTAGGGCCTCCTTCCTAGCTGGGCAAGGAAGGAATGGGGTTTCCCGTCAAGTGCAGGACATGTTTGCAAGGCTGTGGGAAGGAAAGGGAAGTGCTGTAGCCATCACCGAAAAGCAGATGACAGTATCAGTCTCACCCCTGGACTGTAATCATTGGCTTGGCTTTCTCATGAGACTGTGAGTGCCTTTAACACAAAGACCATTTCATCTCTGCGCTCTGCGAGCCTGATCCACTGCCTGGCACATGGTGGGCACACACCCAGCTTCCGGCCTTTCAAATAAAGTAATGCATAAAAGCTGGGTGCATCTGTTTCTAAGATAAGCACATCCTGAAAAAAACATCTATGAATGAACCCCAAAACGACAGTTTTAAAAACTACTAACTGATTTCAAGAACTCTTGGCATCTGAATCATAGTTATGAGAACGTTCCGGCTGAGGCTAACTACTATAGGGACATACACGGCTTATGAGAGCAAATTTCCATGAAAAAATAAAAAGTAAATGTTTTTTAACAATTTTATTGCTCTATGGTTTATTTTATTGTGGTAAAATAGACATACCATGAAACCTACCATGTTAACCATTTTTAAGTGTACAACTCAGTGGCATTAAGTATATTCACAATGCTGTGCAGGCTTCACCACTATCCTTTTCTAGAACATTTTTCGTTGTCCCAAACAAACTTTTTACCTGTCAAACATATCTTCCTGTTCCTCTTTCCCCAACACCTGGTAACCTCTATTACACCTTTTATTTCTATGAGGTTGCCTATTCTGGGTGCCTCATAAGTGGAGTCATACAATATTTGTCCTTTTGTGGCTAGTTTATTTTATTAGCATGTTTTCAAGGTTCAGACATGTAGCATGTATCAGGATTGGTATTTATTAATGATCAGCTAAAGGTCTAAATCAAGGTAGAACCAATTAGTTTACCACAGTTTTAGCTTATTTACATGAGAGGTAAAGAGAATATGATAAGTGACCTGTATCTGTCTTCTCTGTTCTACATATACTCTATGAAGGGACATATACTTCAGTGTAATAATACTACCACCACTTCAGAGAAGGCATCCTCTCTTTCCATTTCACCTCCAAGAGATAAGACCATGGATACTGTTGGTAAAACCCCGACTGGGAAGAAAAAACTTACACAAAAATCCTTGGACATCCTCTGGGCAGCCGTGATCTGGCCAGTCAGTATATTGCAGATGCCACACCGTCCTTTCCTGCCCAGACAAAAGGTGCTTGACCTTCAAGCCTGTGGTTGCATAGCAACCAGAATCTGTTCGGAATTTTGTGGTGACCTTGAACTTGCCATAGGTGGCTGAGCTGTGCTTGGAGCCCAGTTTGGGCCAGTATCGGTGGCTCTTGGTTCGTCCGCCCTCCTGAATCACACACAAAGGCAAAATTGGAAATAAGTCAGCGGAAAGAAGCTCTTATCCTCTTACTCTTAAAATCTGAAGACAGGAAAATGCAAATAGCTTCTAAGTCACCAACTCAGTAGCACTGTGCAATGTCCATCAGAATGGATCCTCTAAACGTTAGCCAAGACCAATAATACGATGGACCACAGTAGTTACATCAAAAGAAAATTTAAAAGGTTCACAACTGAGCTGCAGGTGAATGTTATGAGAGAAGAACCAGTGCAAAACCAAGAGGCAGGAATAGGTGGTGTGTTCAAGAAACAGAGTGGTCTTCCGGGTGGTGCACTCTGGTGAGGGTGGGGGCAGGTGGGAGAGAGGCGATCAGAAAGCACCATGGTAGGGAGTTTGGGTTTCCCTCTACGGACAGTGAGAAGCCATCCAAAGGTGGTGGAGTGACCTTAGGCAGGGGAATGACAGGTTCTAGTAATCTAGAATTAAGGTCATGCTCCGTATTGCTGATGTTCAGCCCACACTGACTACTGACACTGTCTCTATCATCTTGTGTCAACCTCCCCTTCCTTCAGCCTGACCCATCTGTTTTAGTTCCAGTAACCACTGAAACAGAGAACGGCTGGTTATATCATCTTTCTCTCTCTGTTAATTTTATAATTGTTTCCAAGGATACGCATTCCCAACCATTTACACAGTGGGCTCTATTTGTAAGTTTCGCACAGTTTTAAAATCACTGGAGTGGGTGTGGAGGAGATGGTGGCTTAGAAGGGGACCCAGGGCAGTGGGTGGGTGGAGACAGAGGAGAAACGCTGAGCTGAGGGGGTGAGCGGCCAGCGCTGGGGGGACCTGCGCCTTAGAGAAAGAAGCCCTGATGGTTACTAGCCCTCTTGCAAAGCAACATATCTTTAGGTAATACAAAAACTATCTCGCCCTGATTTATTTGGTTGAATTGAGTCTTTTTAAGTTTGAGGCATGCCTGCCTCTTTTATTTACCAATCCTGTGATAAAAGGTTTACTTGAGGCCTTGAATTTATATTACTGAGTGTCTCAATCAATTACAAATTTCAAGAGGCTCTAAGCCTCTAGGCTGCCTCACAGATCACCAGACTTTGTGTTTATAACACTGGCCTCCTCTGTCACGCAGGCCTCAGCTCAAAGCCTACCGCCTCACAGGGCCCTGGGCTGCCCATCTAATCTAAGGAGCCTCCCAGGCACTCTCTGTTCCATCACCTGGTTCCATTTTCTCTGTGGCACTGACCACTACCTGAGCTTACTTTATTTGTTCGCTTTTTATCATCCCTCCCACTAGGATGTCAGCTCCCTGGGGACTGGGGTCATGCCAGCTTTGTTTACCACCATGGCTCTCGTGTTAGCGCAGATGGTCCACTGCATTAAGCCATACGAATCCCTTATAGGGATGCAATTCCACAGGTGCTAAGACTATTCTAGAGATTTTCGGGGAATTTACTCTGTGGGAAGGTCTCATAGCAGGTCAGCCCAGAAAAGTGCAACTGGCTTTAAAGAGCCTGAAGTCTGTTTCACCACTGTCTTCTAATGGGCTATTCGGGAAGGCAACTGCTCAGAGGATTCAATGAAGGGAATAGTGACATTTTTTTTTTTCAGTTCATATGCAATACCATAAATACTGGTAAAAACCAAACAAAACAGATGAAGCTAGTCCCTTAAATGACTTCAAAAAGAAGTTAAAATTAATGAAAGGAACGAAAGGAAGTGGTTACAATAAAAAATGGAGACTGTGACAAGAAAAGAAACATAAAATGTCTTCCCCCACAGACAGCAAGCTCTAAGAGAACAGCTACACTGATGGAAGGAGAATGCCCATCTTTATAACGCCACGTAGAGTTCTCTCGTTACAATAGAAAACTATGTTTCACTGGGCACAGGAAGAAAAAGATTTTTTTCTCTCCCCAAAGGATAAAGACCTCTACAGGAACAACAGCTTCTGGTCTCTTTGTGGCTGATAAATGCAATGGCATGTAAGTGGGCCATGCCCCGGAGTTGGGGCTATGTGCCCGTTTACCCAGAACAGCCCGTAGCTCTCAAATTCCAGGAGAAAGATTACAGCTTGGTTTGGCACACAAAAGAAGCTGGCTGAACGGAAGTTTGCTTCTTGTTTGTGTATTTGTGTGTATTTGTGTTTGTGAATTTGATTTTTGGTCATGGCAATGCAAAGTAAAGAGTTAAAAACTGATGAAAATGGGGACGGCTGGTTGGCTCAGGTGGTTAGAGCGCAGGACGCAGTGCTCATAACACCAAGGTTGCTGGTTCGATCCCCACATGGACCACTCAGGTGCGCCCTCCATAACTAGATTGGAACAATTGCTTGACTTGAAGCTGATGGGTCCTGGAAAAACACAGTTTCCCAATAAAAAATTTTTTAAAAATTAAAAACTTTCAAAAAAATTAAACAAAAAAAATGATAAAAATGGGATGCAACAAACCAGTTATCTTTGGAAAACAAAACAAATCTATGCAGAAGGGAGAAAACACGTGCACGCCAAAGAGAAAAGGGTTTTCAGGGAAACGGTGCTGCAGGAGGAAGGATGGAGCCGCAAGGACAGCGACACAAAGCCCATCTTCCGGCCACCCCTTCCCCAGGAACAGATGGCTGGACGGCCGTTCCCCTTACCTCTTCTGCGGTGACCATGGCAATCACGTTTGCTCCCTGCTCCCACACCATCTGCCAGAAGTCGTGGCATGTGTGTGGCAGGGGCCCCTGAGTGGCTATGTAGTGCCATTCTGCCCCACCAACCACCACCTGGAAACCAAAGAAAGCAAAGGTGAACGAACCCCAAATCCAGGATAGAATTACCTGCTGACCACGGGTCCATGTGTATCCACCTGAAAACCTTGGATAATATTTTTTAGGCCAAATGGGTTAGTGCCATTATCAAAAATCCTGAGACCGAGAGGGGCAACGACACATTCCCACATGAAAATGCTACTAAAATACACCCAATCCATTTTTTTTTTTGTCTGCAACCCATAGCAATTATGTACAAACCAGGGCTTATTAAACACACACACACACACACACACACACACACACACACACACACACACACACACACACATATATAGCCACACATGTACACACACTATTACATGAATATATGTGTATGTGTGTAGCCTAACAGAATTTGTTTCAGAAACAATAGTTATGCATCCTATGTGCAATGCATTCTGATAATTTCTGTTCTTTTTTCTTCTCTATTCTAGTCTATTTAAAAAAAAAACAACACCCAAACTGGTCCTGAGGTTCCGACAACTGAATTGATTCCACACTCCTACTCCTATGTGGTGATTCACAGTTTGATGCTCTGTGGCACCCTTTTAAACAGTAACACAGTCTACCATGGAATAACATCCCTTTGGGAGCAATGTCTTTCTCCTGCTGACCTGATATGTGTTATAAACCAGTGCTGTACTCACCACTCTGCTGTGCCACATATGGTAGAGGTGTCACAAAGACACTAGTCAACAACACATGCTATTTTGTCACTCACTTCCTCTTGTGCAGGACCACAGTCTCCAGCTAAACTTGAGATGGTTTGGATAATAAAATTATTACCCCGTGCAGCTTGGGGTGATCTTGGGAGGAGAAGTCTGTAGCTATAAATATCAGCAGCAGAGAATCATATAGAAGAAGTTGTGCCCCAAGTGTTAATCATGGTCATGCTATCAGGGTGAAGCAATGGCCTTTGGAAGGATTCTTTGTGTGTCCCCTTCCATGCCTGGGTCTTAGCATCACCAAGTCAGGTCCCCGTACACATCCACCAGGGCAGATCTCGAGATAGCTCCAGGAGCAATGAAATGATCCTTGTTTGAAACTTTTTTCCCTCATTTATTTTATGAAACTATATACTAACTTGATTCACACAAAAACAATGTCAGTTATTGTCTCATTACCCAAGGCATGTTTAGGTCAAAGCTGGCAAGCAAAATCCATTTTCCAAGTACTGGTGGGAGATAACATTCATATATTTGCTGGCTGGCTAGGAGTCTGGTTTATCTGTGGAGTCGTGATTTCAAACATTAGCCTCTCTGGCACCCAAACATATAGGAACCATAAATACTTCCAGAGTATGTTGCTGCCTGGGGCCTTTCAGCCAATTCCAAATATTGACAGGAGGGTATTAAAAACGGCATTAAAAACACAACCACCAATGCTACTGAGGTAGATTTCACAGATGTGATTTCACCTCTGGAGCAAATAAATCTCTGTTCTGTGTTAACGGCTGCTTGGAACCCAGGGAGAAAGCATTGGCAAGATATACAGCTCTGGACAAGTTCTTACAAGCTCTATGGGTCTATTAAACGCACCCATGTCTAACCCAGATCCACAAGATGAAACGTGGGCCTCGGAGAATACTGAGGAAGAGAATGTTCCTGCTAACTATACCCAGTGGGCACGGCTGATGCGGACTGACAGCTTTTTCCAGAGAGCAGATGGAAAATGGTAGAACGGGATTTGGCCCAAAGAAGAAGATAGTATAATACAGCTATGTAAGATTTTCATAGACATTCTATCAAGAAGCAGCTGTGTGAGTCGCACCTTTGTGGAAGCACATTACTTTGGCCATTGCTTCGTTATCTAAACTGAGCCCGTGAAACTCATCATTGTCAGTGTATTAAAGAATTTCCTGAGGTTCATTTTCTTTTAATGTTTTTGTTCTCACTCTCGAAAATAAGAGTGAAATACACAATATGACTCATGACAGTGCTCTTTCATATTTCATTTGACAGTACTTTCCAATACTTAAATATATATTTCAGCTCTGTGTACAAAAATACTATACTCAACCCTGGTATACTTTTCATATTTTGTATCAAAACTGTTATAACTGATAAATGTGCACCCATCTGGCTATAGTTTGGAGGCTCAAAGGAGCCTACCAAGAAGGTGGCTACAGTTGAAAAGTCCAATGAAGAAAGGAAACAATTCTGGACAAAGTCAGAAACAGGTTTCTGAGACTGTTGCTCATAACAGACTAGTAATGTGAACCTTGTACAGTTTAAACCATCCTGTAACAACTGCTTTAACATTAGTGAATGAATAAATTCTTCTTCTACTTCAGAGGGCAGAAGCAAGTGGTGACCTTCTAAACAAGTATGTTCTGTTACTAGGGACACTGAGGAAGGTAAGCTATTCAGGAAACATTTAATTGTATACACACATGTATCCATGACTCTAAATACTAACTGGGGTCAAGCTAAACTCATGAATTTTAAAGTCTGTGAAAGGCTGAGATACAAAAGTATGAAGTCTGTGAAGTAGCAATAAAAATTTAATGACACTAATGCATTGAATAACGTGGCAAATCTTGCAAGTTGCATTATCAAGCACATCTTCGTGACTTATGTTTAAACTTGTCCACTCTTCTAAATATCATGCAACTCTGAGACTTCAGCTGTGCAATGCATCACCTGTGGTATTACAAGGGAGAATGGATAAGTTTCTGTTGCCCTGGGACATAGAAACTTCAGCAACAGTAAAACAATGCCTGTGACTTCCAAAGTCTCCATCATCGCTAACTACAAGCTGGGAAGGACAATCCTCAGCTTTTCCTGTGAGTTTTTGGGAGGGTTCTAACCCACAGAGAGAAGAAAAAGTTAAATCCTCTGTCATGAGCAAGCTCCGGAAATAGCTGACCTGAGGTTTTCCTGGACGCTGCTAAGGCCTCCTTCTCTCCGCAGTGACAGGCACGCCCTTCCAGTTGACTTTAAGAAAACCTCAGAAGTTCAAAACCATTCCCTCGGGGTCTGGGGACAAGCCAAGATGCACAGGGGCAGCCCATCCTACGTATTTTTCTCCCTGCATTGTGACCGCTAACCTAGCCAGCCATCGTCAACACACCTTCCCAGCATGCTCCCCTGCTTACCTTGATGTGGGAGGCATTAATGTAACCGGTGTTATTTTCTTTGGTCGGGATCAGCTCTACTCGGTTCTCCTCATAGGGGACGACTTCACGGATCCGGCTGCGCTCAGCGTTTTCGGGCAGAGCCGCTGTGCTGAAAACGCCGTTCGCCTTTTTCTTTGGAATTTGTTCATATTCTGTGAACACCATTCCCTCTTCCAGCTTCTTCTTCAGGGTTCTGAACTGCAACCGAAATGAACCTTCAGCTCACTGAACTGTCTTATCCAAAAGCTCCAACACAACAACCAGGCTTCCTTCGATATTCACAGCGATAGGGTTAATAAGTAGTTTCAAGATGTACAACCAATGCTTGATTATTTGGTCTCATTATTACCCATATCACTCATTTCTCTTGTTCAACAACCAATTTCCTTCTCACCCATGCCTTAAACAGAACAAATCTGTAAGACCAGGCAAGAGTTGAAATTCAAAATCGGCATGTTTTGTTATTTAACATCTGTTTAAAGTCTTAGTAATGAGATTATTGATGTTAACTATCCAAACAGCCTTTTCCCCACTCATGCAGCTCATCCATTTTACTGAGCTAAATTTTAAGATGATATTGGGGGCCAGCAGAGTGGCGCGATGGTTAAGAACTGGCTTGGGACACCAGAGGGCCCCGGTTCGGATCCCACATATGAGGGCCAGTGACACTGCCCT